TGTATAATGTACATCTCATTTTGAAATACACTGTAGTGCTTGTTTTGTTAATTTGGACAAATTTTGTTAATCTGAAGTGGCTTTCGTCCAAGGAAAGAGAAAGAGTGGACACTTCTAGAGGCTCCCACTGAAGTCTGTGTGATGATGCTGCTGTGAGAGAGACTTTCCACTTTCCCTCAAAATGAGGTAACTCCTGCTCTAGGAACAGAGTGTACTCAAAGCCTTGTCCCTTCTTTAAGTCTGCTGCTCTGTTCTTGTGCATTCAGGAATAGTGTGCGATGGTGGCGGAGACTGTTTCATAGCTCAACGTTAGATTTGGTGTCCCGGTGACTGTAGCTGTAATCACAGCTCGGTGAGGAAATGTGTATGCGCCAGTGCCCAAAAGGGTGCTGGGAGGTGCTGGAGCTCTGACATGGAGTGCTCACAACTCCTCTCAGATCTGTATCTTGCTTATTCTACCTGTCCCCGCAGCAAAGACGAAGGAAATACTTGTTGCATTAGTGAGCTTTGGATTTGCAGGGACAAGTTGATGCAGGTGTATTTTCTCCTGGGCAGTGCTGAACATCATTAGCTTCCCTCAGTTCCCTGGTTAACTCTGTCTTAAGGATTTCAGGACTCGCAGGAGGGGAAAGGAGGGATGAAAGAGGAATTGACGGCGCCCTGGTCGGTTAAGCGGTCAATGCTTTTCATTTTCCAGGTTCCAAGGTGTTCAGTGCCTGGCTCGTGCCTGGGGCATCAGAGCATGCCGCTGCTTATGTTTACCTCCCGTCACCTCCTTACTCTGTGTTTTGTAAAACCCAGGCTACACAAACATGCGAGCCAAAACATGCACGCTCCTCACATCGCTTCTGGTGTCTGGGCAGCACCTCCCCAGCCAGAGCCCCGTGGCTTTTCCAGTAACGTATCTGCGGATGCGGTCAGCTGCTGATGCGCTGTCGCTGCTGGTAAAGGGAGGATTTTGCACTGCTCTACTTTTCTTTCCTTGTGATTTTTATGAAGTAGTGCTTTTTTTCTCCCTTATATTTTGGTTCTGGAGTGAAAATTTTCTCACTTTTTCACCTCTGCAGTTAGCGTGTTGGGTATTATATACCATTTGAAGGCACTTACAGAGGATGATTTTTAAAAATATGTATTAATGTCAAATTTGGATGACAGAATTGGGTCAGAGTATACAACAGGTCTCATTTTATGTTCCTCTGATAATTACTGTGTGTGTTTTTTATTGCCATGTGCTCATTTGGGAGCCTTAAATCACTCATACTTCTGCCTAAAGGTGGAAAGTATGTAATCCCACAAAATATTTTGTCACAGCTGGCTGTGCTTTAGTGAACGTACAGCACAGTCTGTTAGGAGACAATTGCTTTTACCATTCAAACTGGGATTGCTGTCTGAGCTGTTGTTGCTATTTATAACTGGGGCAATTGGATTGCCCTTTGCTGCTTCAGTCCCTTCCACCTACCATGTCTGCAGGAGGAAGCTGGGATTAAGAGGCAAAATTTGATAACTCACGTTCAGAGTGTTGCAAACCTCTGGTACCAAAGTGGTGGTAACCAAAGCTATGTTTAAAGAGCGTGGTCAAATAACTAATTTCTCCATGACAGATTCCCAGCATTCTTTTTTTTTTTTTTTTTTAGAAAGAGCAATGATTGGGAACATAATTTCAGAGATGAGCAGATGAAACTGTGTACGCAGAACTTCACTGCTAGCTCTAAAATTCCTAGCACCAATTAACCAGCTGGAGCTCACACTTCATTGAAACAAACTTCAATGGCAGAAGCTCCTTTCTTCACTTCTGGCAGCCTCTGAAGATGGGCATGCTGCTGCAGTCAAGTTGAAGTAGATGTGGCATAATGCAAGAGTAGATTAAAAAAAAGAAAAAAAAGGCTCAGGTTCTGTGTCTGCATCCCCTTTTCTACATGGCACTTAACTTAAAAGCGTTCATGCTGCCCCTTGTGCCGCTGCATGACCTGAGCTAGCATAGCTGCCTGCAGACAGTGCAATAAACTGGATAAATAAAATAATCCTTATGTCCAAACATGAGTTTTCCCTCCCCCATCCATGTACTTGTTTTTTGCAAGATTATTTTTAATCCAGATCACTTCACTGATCCAGTTTATGAAATTACAAAATCATTATACGGACCCCGCCAAGGGTGCAGCTGGGAATGAAGAGCTAAGGTGATGGGACTGCAAAAACTCCGTAAGCCAGCCTAGGCACCAGGACAGGTGTATGGGGAACTACTGGTCAGGAATTAGGTATCTGGTTTTAGTTCATGCAGGTTGTTCTTTCTGCTCTTTTTGTCTTAAAAAATGTGCAAAGTAGTACATGCAATTCCCATGGGCTGATCATGACAGCAGTTTCTACATCAGATCCATTTTTGGAGCTGAAATCTTTCACGGTTAACCTCTCTGAAGAGGTTTTTTGGTTTTTTTCCTTAAAAAGAAAAAGGTGAATCTATGTGATGTGTGGGCTTTGTGCCTGAGAAGTTTTGTCTTCAGATTCCTTTTTGTGACTTCTGAATTACGTGAGACTGTGAGATGAAAGCTGGAAGATGGGCACATGGACCTTACTGAGTGTGTGCCTTTCTGGCTTCCAAAAAGGTACAGAGCATATGCGCTCTCGCTTCAGTATGAGTACACTGCATCTTATGCTGGAGTGGGAATAGGACGGGGGGGATTTGTTTGTGGGGTTTTTTTTTGTTTTCCAGAACACTACAGTTATTTCTAAGTTGTGAACTTTATCCAGAAAAAGGGACAACTTTGCAAACATACAAATAAGTAACCATATTTGCGTGAGCATGTATGATTGTAGTAGAAACAATAAACTTCATGAGTGCCACCAAATAAGCATATTTTATTGTGCATGTGTATTCAGGCTCTGTTGCTGTGGCCCATCTGCTTTTAAAGCTGTACCAATAAGAATGTTTAACTTTCAGGAAAAACCTTGCAGCAAAGATTGCTTGAAGATCTAAATGCATTTGAGTGGATGAAAATACCCCTGAGTATGAAGTGAAATGCATGAAAAATATCAGTGAGCATGAAAGTTAAGCTGTGTATGTAATATCACTGTGCTTTTGATATGCGTGTCTTACCTTCTTTTCTTTTTCCTCACATACCCAAAAGCACTTTCTTAGGGGAATCTCTCTTTTTATTAAAACTCTGCCTTTGACCCTCTGAAGGCTCATCTTTATTAGTCCAGCCCATCATCCCCACAGAGCCCCAAGAAGATCCCTGGTGCCTCTGAGGCTCTGTATGTCACCAGTGATTTCCCCTTGCTGAAGAAAAGTGTGCAGCTTCCCTTGGAGTTTTTTGGATTGTGTTCAAGAGTGGATAATTGTTCCTTCTGAACTACCTACTGGTGGTTTTCATCGAGGTTCCTATCTTTGGGTTGATTTAAAGTCAATTTATTTTCCTCTTCTACCTTTCCCTCCTCCTCTCTTACTGTCACACTTTGTTCTATTATTGAAATGTTTCAGAAGTGTCAGTGCATGCAAATGCTGTCACTGAGCCAATGTACTTTGGCTACGGATATGGATGAAAAGCAAGTTTGATAATTTATGCAAGATTATTAGGCCAAATTAGAAGCAGTCTGGGGAACCCTCCAACTCTACATTAGGCAAATTAAGGTAAAAACTGGAAAGATTAAAAATTCTCTTTGTAGGAACATGAAAAGTCACTTGAGAATGTTGTTCAGATAATATTGTAGAAGCTCTGACTCCACTGCAGTGTGAACAGCATAGGCTCCTTGGCAATTATTTTCTTGGTACCTTTTACTATAATTCTGAGCTAACTATGCAGCAGAATAAAATCCATAAATTAATTACTAAATACTATAGAAGCAATGCTGTGACTTGTTGTAATAGTGTCAGGAATCACAATAGCTTGCTGAAGTTCCTGTAGTTTCCCAAGGACTCTTTCTCACTGGTTCAACCCAACCCAAATGACTTGTAATGCTGGAAACCAAGGCCAAGTGTGTTACCACATACTGCAGTGAGGCTGACTGCAATGGGATGACGTATTTCACTAGTGTTACTCACTATGTTTTTTAATTCTGCTTCTATTTTGCGAAATTTCTGAACAAGGTTGTTTTCTTTTTATGTAACATGCCATACCTTTAAGAACAATCACATTGTTTTCTCTCCTGAAGCACTCCGAGTCATTGATTTACTCGCACAGGAACTTTCTGTGTGTGTGTCAGGGCTGTCGCTTACTCCAGTGTCCAGCTTGTAAATGAGAAAAACTGTGTTTAACTCTCTTCAGAGAAGTGTTTCACTGAGTTTCCTGAAAATCATTGCATCTGCCATGCTAATTTGTTATTCTTCCAGCTTAAATAACTGATGTAAGCTTCAGAATTGTGTACATTTCAAATAACGTCTTGTACTGTTCATGGAAAAGGAGGGGGGGCATATTTTAGAGGTTTACATGGTTTCCCCTTTCTAAATTTATATTTGTGTCACACTAACTTTAGTATGTTTCTAATCTGTTTATCAGCTGTGCCAGCCTAGGTTCTTGTTTACACTGGGGCATACCTAGGAATAGATGTAGAATTGGATTGCTGAAAGTGATGTCAGTGTGGTAAAGAGGTTTCTGAGAAATGAATTAATTTATCTAGACATGAAACAGATCAAAATATATGTGACCTTCTGTGGGCTCTCAAAGAACCTGAAACCAGAAGAACGTATAAATATGCCTATGCACAAAACCACAATGGTTTACCTATTGCCCTCCTAAATAAAAAACTATGTGTGCATCTGCTTTTACTTTGGGCCTGTCTCTGTTACGGAATCTCTGCTGTCTTTAACGGAAGGTATTAGCGACCAGAAGTGTTCGTTTCTGGATTTGGATTTTCTTTTTTATTACAGCAGCTTTACACTGAGAGCAAAGACTGGCCCATGGATGAGCTGTTCCAAATAGAAATGGTACCCATGAATGCTTCAGGAAAGGTGCAATAGTGTTAAGCCACCTAAAAATTACAAACAGGAGAAAGCTGTTCGGGACACGATGGCTTTCCCTGTCCCTGCAGCCATCACTGGGGTCTGTGATGTGCTGTCCTGGGCTGGCCGGGCGCTGCTGGCCCCAAACCTGCAGCATGAGCAAGTCCGTAGGCCAGCCGCTGTTGTGGTGGGAGAGTCTCTGGCTCCGGTTTGGAAAGAAAACACCAACTTTGGAATGGTCTCAGGGATGTTCAAAGCCACACCAGATGCTTCATCAGGCAGTGAATTAGGGATAAGTAGCACAGCATTTTTGCTGTTTTGTTTATAATTTATATATAAAATATATTGTTTATATTTTGTTTATATTTGCAGGTTTTGTTTATATTTTAAGAATTCATTTGTGAATGTGTAACCTGATGGATGGGTAGGTATTTAAAGCTACGGTATACAGCTCCAGGTAATCTTAATGTAGGCAATCTTTGCCTCCTGTGGCAAAACAGGCAACTCCTTAGAGCCAGTGGCGGCCAGCTCTTTTTGCTTTTGATTTGTTTCTTAAACAGTTTCTGTGGAGTTTAGGCATCTGCAGAGGAAGATGCTGGTCCCAAGGCTCTGATTAAACAGGCCACCACACAGTCTGTCGTTGCTGGACTTGTTCCTGCTGCTCTTGGAGTGGTTGAGAAAGGACGCCCAGAATTCGAAGGAGACAAAGTATGATTACAGGTCCTGGTTTAGGCAAAGAAAACTGAAATAAGAAAACCGCAAACTTTCTCTGTTGTTTTGGGTTTGTTTTTTTTTCTCCTTTCTTGGGGATTTTAGTCAGCACATGTACCAGGCATTTCTTCTCCTTTGAACAGATCTAATCTCCTGGGTAATAACAACTATTTATGGAACAACAGGATACCGAACAGTTTATAAAGGCTAGGTTTGTTTACTTCTGCTCTGTGACTGCTCATTTCACATAGGGGTTTCCTCATCTGTCAAGGGTGAAGAAACTTGGCTGAGTAGGCACATCTGTAAAGAAGTAGTTGGCCTTGCTCTGCCATGGTGTCCTGGCAGAACTGTCCTGCTTAGCCAGGAAAAATTTTCCACCTGTGCTCAGTAAGGAAGGTATTTTAGCAGGAAAGTAGTTGTCTCTCATTTTCTAAGAGGAAAGGAGGAATTGTTCTGTTTCAGTCCTCCCAGGTCTGGCACCTGCTGCTCATGGGGGGTGTGGGTTTGAAGTGCCAATCTCCTCTGTCTCCTCTCTGAGAAGCAGATTCTTCATGCTTTGGTTATTATTAGGCATTATTAGGATTTGCTGTAACTGGGGGACACCTAAACCATGTCCAGACAGGAGATGAGAGGATATAGGGCTAATAGTTTGGGTGTTTTTTTCTCTTTGTATTAATAGGACTTGGTTTCCAGTGTTTTACTCTCTCTTGTGGGTTGTTGGACAGAAAACACACAGGGGAAGCAGCACTTCATTCTGCATAATTAGCTGCCAGACATTGCATCCTCTGAGGAGGAGGGAACAGTGATGGTTCCAGGCCATCCAGGAGGAAGAGAAGAGAAATCCTGTGAAATAAGCCATGTCTGGAGTGCTCTAGATACAGAATAATTCACCTAGAAATTCAGAGCTGTGTGAGATTTGCAGTGCTGGCTGTTGCACGTTCTTTCTCCGTCTGAACAGTGGCTGTGCGATGATGAACTGCTGAGGTGTTTTGACAGATGCCAGTCAGAAGGATGTTTTTGACAGGGTGGTTTTTTTTGTAATCATTAATGTCACTCTAAGCAGTTGTTTGTGTTTCTACATGTTTGTTTTTATTCATCTTCTATTTGTTTCCCTTTCACAGCAGTGCCCAGCCTACCATAATGAGATCCAGGAAGCTGAAATCAGTCTCAATTAGTGAAGCTACTGTAAATATTTTCACTGACAGCACTGTCTTTATTCAGTTAAGATCTCAAAATATTTGAATGTTGTTTTATGATAAACAGTTAGAAGATCCAGTAATTCAAATAAAGTGATACCAGGAGGGCAGTTTATTCTGAGATAATCCTGTCTTTAGCTAATCTAAAGAAATTGTGCTCTCTGAAGATGCGAGAACGCCAATAAAAGGCAGAGGAGAGGTGAGAAGCATGAGAGGAAATGGAAGAGGAAAAGGTTCCCACAGACAAAATAATTTATTACTAGATCTAACTTTAATTAACAAAGTTGCCTGGCCTGTCTGGAAGTGCACAAGGCATTGTTGCCGGCAGTTGATAAACTGAGTAATGAGTTGCCAGTATCTGGAGAGTGTGAAGCAGCCATCACTGGCGAGACCTTCTGCCTTGGTAGGGGAGATGACCCATAAGTATCGAAGACATCTGGCCTAGGAAGAGCCCTTAACAGCTTGTTTGCAATGACCCCTCTGTGGCTGTTAAGGAGTAAAAAATTAAGTGAAAAAGTCAGTGTTAAGTACCGAGGCACTTAGGGTTTTTCTAGAGCTGTAGGAATCTCTCCCTTCTGCAAGTTATATTTTTAGCGTGGCACTGGCTTTCAGCTGGTACTGAGTTTTCTTCCTAATACTTAAGACCTGACATGTCAGCCTGTCTAAAAAGTTAGACACGCAAGAGTGGACGTTTCCAAGCTTGTCCCAGTTTGCAGATGTAGAGAGGGTTTCTCTGCTACATTTTGTTTCAGTTTTGCAGTTTTTTGTAAATTACAATGCACCTTCTGCGTGTCAAACCAGTGAACAAAACTAAAAAAACCCTCTCAATTTCTCTAGCAAATCACAGTTTAAATTCTTGATCAGTAGTTTGGAAATATCTATAAAAGCATAAAATTAACCAAATGCAAACTTCTGAATATACCTGGCATCTATCTCTTAATTTCATCAGCTGCTAGAAGATTTTAGAGGCGTGTCTTGACTGCAGAAGCCGAGTGTCAACTCTACAATCCTCTGACTCCATAAGGCTGCTTTTTTCAGCAGTCTTAGGGAAGAAGACGCTTGTTCCCTGTCTCCACCTTCCAGGGTTTTCTCCATGCCGCAGCCCTGGGCTGGTTTCTCTCTCGTGCAAGAGGATCACTTCCTCCCTTCTCCGCTGTTTGTCCTCGGAGCTCTCCTCCTTGGCTCCCTCTGCCTTTCTGTGTGGATGGAGTGCACAGATTGTGTAGGATGTGGCCCTCCTTTAGTCCTCTTGGGCTACATCTCTGTTTACTTTTTTTATAAATAAAATAGTAACCTTTTTAGTAACAGCATTTTTAAGTCTTCTACAGCACTTTGTAAATCCTGTATCAGGAAGTGTGTTTAATGTGCATACGTCCTAGTGGTACGGCTTCCTAGCTGAGCTTAGCTGTCTGTAGACTTCCCAAAGCACTGTAATGGTACAGATAAGAACTTGAGATGAGTCTCTCAACTTTTTGGTGAGTTTTGGATCTCCAGCTATCCCATTTTGAAACAGCTTGTTCTAGATAACCATGTGCCTACCCTAACCTTAGGTCGAAAACAATGTAAGAGGGCCTAAAAAAGCTGAAAGTCACTTCCAGTCTTGAAATCCCTAGAAGTTGAAGATGGCAGGACTAAGTGTGTTAGAAGGTGAAGTAACTGAATCGTGGGTATGTGGCACGGACGTTTAAATTTGAGTACAGGCATTTTAGCGGAGTGGTGGTGAAAAGAGCCAGGAGAGGATTATGTCATGAGGCATAGATTAGATTTAGGGTTTATGTTTGTTTATTCACGTGTACATTCTATATTTCTTCCTTTGTATCTAAAAACCTGACTTGTAAATCTGTGAAATTTGATATCAAATTCTCTAGTTTTAGGAAGCAAGGAGGAATGGGATGGAACGGGCAGACTTGGAGGCAGCAGATAAGTGTACTGGTGGTCCAGAGGGTTCTGGCTCTCTGGGGCACTTTAAGGGAGCACGAGGGCTAGGGAGAGAGTACTTTGGTGATTTGCCTCCCAGGCCCTGGAAGCTCTCACGGTTCCCTCTGCCGGGTACAAACTGGTGGGCTTCCAGTAAGGGTCGCTCAGGAAAAGACCCCACGGTTCACATCACCCCTGGAGCATGACAGCCACCTTTACTGTGCTGAAATGAAATGAGCTAATTTGTTTTCCAGCAGACTAATTGCTCGTGGTTTATTATAGAGACTATTTGGTGCCCTGTTCTGAAGACTGTTTGTTCCGGACAGCATGTTTTAGAATATGTTTGTATGTGCTGGCAAATTTTTCAGGTTTTTTCTTTTTTTTTTTTAAAAAGGTCACCTTGGGTTTAGGAAAGTTTAAAGAGCTGCAGCAGCTAAATAGATACAAGAAATTCAAACAAATCCTGAAGGTGGTTGGACTGTGGAATTCTTTTCAGCTTTTCAGTCTGAACTTCCTTAAATTTGCCAAATTACTGAACTGACTCATTTACATCTGTATTCTAAGGCCTTTCTGGCTTTATTGCCTACAGCTGCCTTAGAACTTTCCAGGTTTTCTTAAATTACAGTATTTCATTAAAATTATCCTTGTAGTATTACCTTAGTTTCTTCATACTGTGTCATGTTGTTCTGACCTAAACCTGTTTCTCAAATTCGGAGCTAATATAACTACTGCCATTGTGTAGTTCCCTCTGTGTGTGAGATTTCTGTTGCTTTTCCCTCATCTGTCTAAATGAATGACAGACGTTTTTGCATAGGCTGGTCAGTGGTTTTATGCTGCATAGGACAATAGGACCTCAGCTTTGGTCCTCAGGCTCTGCTGTGATTAACGTTGTGAGTAACATTCCTGGAGGCTACTGGATTTCTTTTGCTGGCAAAAGATTATTCTGCCCTTTCTGTGTCGAGTCTTTCTGCCTGTTCGGCAGTCCTGCGTGCTGTCCGCTGGGTAGTGCCGGGGTTACGAGCCACTGCCTTATCTGTCCTTTTCCTTCCCTGGTAAAAGCTTCTATTTGTCCTGTAGACCACCCTGTCTCCCACTATACTGTGAAACTATAGCGTGATGGTACAAGTGTGAAAACACTTGTCAGCTCATTCTAGTGAACCGCTGTTCGTGATTTCTGTTACTTTCTGCCTCTGAACCTGTAGGAACTGTTTGGCAGCTGGATGATAATGATCTTACTTTAACATTTGATGTGGTGCCATGTTTTTTGTGTTTGGAATGTACATTGGAAACAGCAGAAATGAGTTTTGGCTGGAACTTCACTGCAATCTTGCAGGCAGTAAATAACAAAGACTTTAACAGGAAAAGAGAACCCAAACACTTTGTGTTCTGGGTTGGCTTGTATGAATCAGCAAGTCCTGCATCTGTGTTGCTAAATAACAAGACTCGATTGCTAAATGTAACCCAAATAGTATACCCATGTAGAGGCATAACCCATGGGATTCTGCTCCAAACTTGATGTACAAAAAATAATCAAGCTGCCTCCTCTTCACATAGCTGAGCCCTGAGCTGGGACTTTCTCTTTTTAGTATTATTACAGTAATGTGCTGCTTTCTCCTCTTGTTTACACTTGTATTGCTCCTTTTAGTCTCTGTAAAACTGCTGTTAACTTCATCCTCCTCATTTGTCATATTTTCAGCGACCAGATCTGCTTCCTTTCACTAACTCTCTTTTCCACTCTATTAAATTCGGGCTTATTGGCCTCAGCAGGACTCTGCGGACAGTTACTGCCAACCACTTAACTGTTAGCTGAGTTAAATGTAAAATCTTTTTGTCTTTCCAAGCAAATCTGGGAACATTCTGACAGCTCATACAAGCTGTTTGCAA